GAAGGAAGGTTGGGCAATCCTACTTCCGTAGTGATACTGCCTCGGAAACCCAAGGAGGGGTCGCTATGAGTCGGGGCCGACTTGACAGCACATAACAACAACAACAACGTATTTTCTGTAGTTACACTGTGATAGTTCTGAGAACTCTTTTCCTACGGGCTATTAGGAAAACTTATAATCTGGTTTTCTAGCCTTCAAATTTGTGGGTCCTATCTGGACAAAAGGTGGCAGTGTCATAGGTTATAATATGGTCCATGTACTAAGTGGAAAATTAGAAGTAGAAAAATTCTGCACACAGTGTGTTTGGGTACAATAAGAGTGACAGTATCAAGTAATAGCTGTACTATCAAGTTACAATTTGACTAAGTCTTCTGGAGTTTATCAAAAACTGTGGGGAAGTTAGACTCTGACTTGAAATTTCTTTCCAAGAGCCAGTATGTAAAACCAAAAGAAAATCTTGCAGTTTTTAAGAAGTAGTAAACAGAATCAGACTTATGTCACTCAGGCATCGGAAACCAGTGTAGGAGAACTGAAAGTAAGCCATTATGCAAGGAAGAACAGATGGTAAAAACTCTCACTAATGTAATTTGGAAAAAATATCATCAGACAACTCAGAATTTTTACTTTGTTTAATTGTTACATCTGCTTGATGACAGCTTATAGAAAGAAATGAGTATGAGATAACTGAGTGTAATTAATATAGATGTATAATTATGAAGTTTGGGCTCTGAGGGAATGGATTTCTTCTTGCTCCTCTTCTAAAGTCGAAGTAGAGACTCTAGTAAACATCTTAAGTTACTCATGAATAAGCATGATGAACATCCATTAAATCAACTTGTAAGTTTCTTCATCCAGAAGGATGACTAGGACAATATGCTTCGGGTTAAGTAACCCTCTGATGAACATTAGGGTCAGTAGTAGTGACCCAGATGGAAACAACATCTGGAATGTGGCATTGGAGAAAGCAAACAGTATAACTCAAGTACAGGGAAAATTTATAATTAGAGAATCCAATGAATGCTTATGAGTTTAAATCACAGAATGGTTCTTCTAAAAGTCTGTATAGGCCATTTTAGATTGTTCTGTCAGAAATTTACCCATGACAATCCCAAATGCCTGGAAATGCAATAAAATAAAATAAAGATTTATTCTTTATTTTAGCCAAGAATATTAAAGGAGGTGCCACAGCAATTAAACATACAGTATGAAAATTTCACTTCAGGTCATGAGTGAGTGACAAGGTCCATAATTATCCTCTGACCTTAAACCACTAGAGAATTTATAAAAATATAGGAAACAACTAATTTTTAGACATCATAAAACCGATAGAATAAGACTGTGATCTTCGAGAGACTGGAAATACATACAGTATACCTAGCCATTGCCTAGGCTCTGTGCCTGGAGGCAATTACCAACTATGGCTCAGGAAGGAGACCTTCAAGAAAGCCCAGACATTTTGCTGAATTAAGGAGGAAACGTGGGTGTTCAAGGAAGGTAAAGTGGCCATAATTTTTAGGGAGGATTTTCAGAGATTAGAGAAAGAATTTCGTAGAAAGAACTCTATGAAAATCAAAATGGAAGAACATATTTGGCATTTCTCAAGGTGAAAGAACTGAAGCAAAAATTCAAGCCTCGAGTTGCAATTATTGAAGGATTCTATTGGCAAAATATTGAATGATGCAGGAAACATCAAAGGAAGATGGAGAGTCACTGTACCAAAAAGAATTGGTCAACATTCAACCAGTTAAGGAAGTAGCATATGATCAAGAACTGAGGGTATGGAAGAACAAAGTATAAGCAGCACTGAAGGCAAGGCTTCAGGGACTGATGGAACATCCATTGAGATGTTTTAACAAATGGATACAGTGCTGGAGGTGGTCACTCATTTATGCCAAGAAATTGGAAGACAGCTACCTAATACTTTGAGTGGACAGGACTTGTTTTCTGAAGTTGCTTATATGGAGCATTCTGGATGTACTTCTTTCAGGACAGATTTGTTCATTCTTCTGGCAGTCCATCATATTTTCAGTATTTTCTGCCAATACCACAATTCAAAGGCATCAACTCTTCTTCAGTCTTCTTTATTCACTGTCCAGCTTTCACTTGAAAGTACCATGACTTGGGTTAGATGCACCTTAATCTTCAAAGTGACATCTTTGCTCATTAGCAATTTAACAAGGTCCTTTGCAGAAGATTTGCCCAGTGCAATACTGTATCTATTGATTGCTGCTTCCATGCGTGTTGATTGTTGATCCAAGTAAAATGAAATAGTTGACAACTTCAATCTTTTCTCTTACCTTGAAGTTGTTTACTGGTCCAGTTGTGAGGATTTTTGTTTTCTTTACCTTGAGGTGTAATTCATCCTGTAGACTGTAGTCTTTGATCTTCCTCAGTAAATCCTTCAAAACATCTTCACTTTCAGCAAGCAAGGTTGTATCATCTGCATATCAAAGGTTGTTAATGAGTTTTCCTTTCAATTCTGATGCCGTGTTCTTATTCAAATAGTCTAGCTTCTTGGACTATTTGCTCAGCATACAGATTGAATAAAGATGGTGAAAAAGTATAACCTTAATGTACACCCTTCATGATTTTAAACCATGCACTATCCCTTGTCTTGAATAAGAACAACATACAACAATACCAAAAAATTATTATAAATAAATGAATAAAGGCAAGCAAGAATGAAGATTATACTTATGATTATTCCATCCCTTCTACTGTAGGTGCATAATACTATGAGGACATAAAAATATGAGAAACAATGATATTGAGGTAGTTTCTTTTACCTTCTATGCAAGAAAGTACTTTGCTAACACTTTTATGGGAAAAAGATAGCTTATTTCATTTTTTGATTATCAAGAGCATCTCTCATATTTAAGTAATTGTCTGTATAGCACACTGGGGTTGAAAAAGATCAAATCTTATTTGTA